CAAAGTTGAGTCATGATTTCACTTGTACAAGATTACATTACTTAGGAAGAACTTGGCAAAGAATCTCCTTAGAAACTTCTTGTCATTGATTGATGCCTCCTCAGGATAATCTTGAGCCTTGAGGTACTTTTTCACTTCATGAAACCAAGTATTTTCTCGTAGCAGTGTTCCGGTTTGTCTACTCTTTCAATAGTAATTCGAGGAGCCTCGTTATCCCATCTGACTTTGAACATAAATGACATGGTAGCTAACGTATCCGCCAATTGATTCTCTTCTCGTGGAATATGTTCAAAGGTAATTTCTTTGAAATACAGGATCAATGTCAATACATCTTCTTTATAAGGAATGAGGTTTGGGTGCTTAGTGTCCCAATCTCCTTTGATTTGACTGATCACTAGGGTTGAGTCCTCGTATACATTCAAAAATTTGATTCTCATATCAATTGCAGCTTTGATACCCATGATGCATGCTTCATATGCGGCCATATAGTTGGTACATTCAAAGTATAATCTGGTAGTGAAAGGCGTATGACAACCTTGAGGAGAGATAATTACAGAATCAGTCCCATTACCAAGTGCGTTAGAAGTTCCATTGAAAACCATAGTCCATCAGGATCTTGGCTCAGGTCCTTTATATGGTCCAGGTTCTTCATAATCAGTAACCAACATAATATTCTCGTCCGGGAACACAAAATTCATAGACTGATAGTCGTCTACGGCTTGATGAGCCAAATGGTCTGCCAACACACTTTCTTTGATTGCTTTCTGAATGGTGTACTGAGTTTCGTATTTTATTAAGACCATTTGCTATCGGGATATTCTTCCGGAGAAAGCGGACTTCTCAAATATGCTTCTAATTAGATCCGTTTTAGAGATCAACAAAGTGGTATGAGTCAACATATACTGTATTAGTCAGCGAGAAGCTCATGCCAAAGCGTAACAATTTTTCTCGAGCAGTGAGTATCTTGTTTCACAGTCAGTAAATTTTTTACTAAGGTAGTATATTGCATGCTCTTTTCGACCAGACTCGTCATGTTTCCCTATTACACACCCTATTGAGTTCTCTAACACTGTTAAATACATGATTTGAGGTCTTACTTCAAATGGTGGCATTAGAATCAGAGGTTCTTGGAGGCACTCCTTGATTTTGTCAAAAGTTATCTGACAATCGTCGTTCTATTTTACTACCTGGTCTTTCTTCAATAACTTGAAGATTGACTCACAACTAGCAGTCAGATGGGAAACAAATCGGACAATATAGTTTAATCGTCCCAAGAAACCTTTAACTTTCTTCTCAGTACAGGGATCAAGCATTTCTTGAATGTATTTGACCTTGGTAGGATCAACTTCAATACCTTTACCACTGACGATGGAACCCAAAAGCTTATCGAATCTCACTCCAAAGGTGCACTTGTTTGGATTCAGTCTCAACTTATATTTCTTCAACCTCTCAAATAGCTTGTGCAAGTGGTCTAGATGTTCTTCTTCAGTCTGAGACTTGGCTATCATATCATCAACATAAACCTTTATCTCGTGATAAATCATATCATGGAACAAAGCTACCATAGTCCGCTGATATGTTGCACCGACATTCTTCAACCAAAAAGGCATAACCTTATAACAAAAAGTGCCCCACTGTGTGACAAAAGTAGTCTTCTCCATGTCTTCAGGTTCCATCTTGATCTGATTATATCCCGAGAAACTATCCATGAAGGATAATACCTTGTTCTGAGTGGTGTTGTCGACCAAAACATCAATATGTATGATGTACCCCAAAATTTTCCCTCTCTTTTCTCAAGACATTTCTCACAAAGATCTTCAATAGCTCAAGTTTGCACAAAGGTTGACTAGGTTAAATCAACTCTTAAGCACATGGACTCCAAATTAGGGTTTTGATTTCCACAAGGACAATTGGACTTCTAATACCCAAATAACTTTCATAGTTCATTATAGACATCCAATAATACTCATGCCAAGTTTCAAGTCTTGGATCACAATTTTGCTCAGTCAATTGATCAGATGACAAAAAATCAACTGTATTGGGTAAAAAGTCAACTATGGTCAACTTACAGTCAAACTTCAAGATTTTTGGCCAATATCAACATTTTGAAGTCATATTCATCAATTTATCAAGTGTTGATAATAATTACAACAGAAAGGCACTCAAATCCTCAAAGGGGAAAAATTGTCAAAATTAGGGTTTTGACTAAGAATGAGTGATCAATGATTTTTGACCTAGTACATGACCTAATGACTTGAAGCATGATCTCAAGGGTTCAAACACAACATGTTGACCTAATTTCATGGCTCAAATCCTTTCTCAAGATCAATTGATTGGTAATTTAAATTTGATCAACTGATGAGAAATCAACTGATACTCAAAAGTCAAACTTTGACTTTTTGGTCAAAATTGAGTTTCAAAAGTCAAGATTCATCAAGACATTCAAAATATGAAGCTTGATCATCAAGGAATCAAGAAAGTCAAAAGTCAATATAAAAAGTCAAACTTTTCAAGACTTAGAAAAATTTCTAAGTGTTCTAAATCTTGATAGTTTCATTACTTCATAACCTTTTTCATCAAGATGCAAGATGATTCAAGGAAAAAATTCAACATGAAAGTTGTAGACCTTGTTGAATTATACAACTTTTTATTAGAGGGTTGATGTCAAAAAAATGCTTATATTTGAAGATATAAGCCCATGAAGTCATGACATTTCCATAAAACACTTAGTGAAAAGTTTGACAAGTTTAGGCAAATTTTTGATCTAACTTCTTCGCCAATTTTCATCTAGTTCCAATTTTATTTTGTAAAAATTGTCAACATGAAGGTTGTATAAAATGTTTCAAGCTTTCCAAAATGTCAAAGAACTTGAAGAGATCATTCTTGAGCTAAGGGAATCGAAGAAAAGAATTTAGGCATCCATTCTTGAATTTCAAGTCATTTTTGTGATGAACACTTGACCAAAACCCTAGCATATGCTGCATAATCGTACTTTGCAGGCTTCTAACTTCTGTTTATCTCCATAGTTAACTGATTACACAACTCTTAGAGCTTTTATCCAAGCATTTGAGCCATTATCCATGTTGCATTTCCATTTATGGCACAAAGGTAATACTTTCATTTTGCAAAAGCAAGCTTTATTGCAAAAGTCAATACATTGAGCCTCTAACTTGTTTCTTCTACACACACTAAACCTACAAGATTATAAGGAGCATGTTTAAAGTGATCAACCTGTAGCGGTGAAAATCGGAGATCAAGCTATTAATTAACTTGACTCACAAAAAGCAAGAGTCGCCACCGCGCTTTATTATTTCCAAGGGAAAAGGGAAAAGAGCGAAATAAAACCCTAAAATATGCAATGTAAAGTAATATTTAAAAGTAATGAAAATACAATGCGTTTTTTTTAAAAAGAGATCGAGAGTTTGGGGGTTGGTTATACAATGGGAAGGTATTAGCACCCAATGCATTTGCGGTACTCCGCAGGAACCTTTTGAAATATCTGTTTTTGGTTAAAATTGTTTGTTTGATTAAAATGGTTCGTTTGGCTAAAAATAGGCGTGGACGAGATTTTTGAAAATCCGACGAGCTAATGTCGAAGTTTTTGACTTAAAAGGTGTGAGTTTGAAAATGGAGTCTTTTGGGAAAATTATCTTGAGTTTAGCAAAATAGTAAACAAACAAAAAATGAAAAAGGGTATTCGCACGATCGGATGAGATGTATTTGATGACGTGAAGTCAACAAATTTAAATCTTTCCCTTGGAGTTAAAACCACAGACAGATAAATAAGCTAAGAGTATACCAAACCTTAGGTGAAAATAAATCACAAGCCGACAGCATCATCAAAAAACCTAATGTGAGATAATACTCCAAGCATCAGATAAAGCGCAAAGGCGGTGGATAAAGCTCACGGTGTCAGATAAGAATCCCTGCATCACAAGAGATATACCGACAAAATCTAACAGCATGGGAAACTTATGTGCGTCTGCACAATTTTCAGAAGTTAGTTGGAATTAAAAATAAAATCACAATGCAATGAAAATAATATTTACATAGACGGAATTTAGTTACCAATGAAATGAGTAAAATATACAGTAAAAAATATTATGTACAAGTATATATTTACAGTACCAAATAAAAAAATAATGAAATACAATAAAAAGGTAAAAGGAGAAGTGTAGGAATTATGGATGCGTTATGTGAGAATGGATACTTGAAACGATTTTTTTTGGAAACCTTCACAGTAGCAAACGCGTTAGTAGCATAAGCTGTATAAAAATTAAAATGAATGAAATTGCAACAAGATTTGAATTTATGTTAATAATCACGAGGTATAAAAATAAAAATGAACTTGTATGATGCATATGAACAAATGAATATTTACACAAATCAAAAATCAAGAATTCATGATATTGTTCAATGTAAACACACACAAAAAATCAACATTATCAAAAGTTAGACAACAACAAATTATGCATAAAAAGCTCATGAAAATTAATTTTCAAGTGATTCAAAACTTATGTACAAACACTAATATTAAACCAACAAACTTTGTGAATTGAATTCAATTTGAAACATCATCAAAACAAATTTCGAAATAACTTAAACAATAAAACAACATCAACACCGACAATTCCAAATTAATCAATTCATGCCAAAATTACATTAAGTCCGAAAAGTGATGAAAATAAGTTTGGAGTGCAAGTTTCAACAAGGATAAATCCGGGCAGCAACTCGACAATATGTCGGTGCTCCAAAATCAAAGAAAAGTCTCAAATTCAACTTGAACAATTTAATCCAATTTCAATATCATTTTCAATACTTGAATCAATTTAAGTTAGAAGACAATGTCATCCTTAAAATTCAAAGCTAGATTCAACAACCAAAATTGACATCAATAATTTCGAACAAATACTTAGACAACAACCACAAAATCCAATTCAACACACACCTTATGTAATTTGAAGACCACAACCCGCTGCATTGTTGGAAGAATCGCTGAGTTAACCCAGCGGCGATGACGGTGGCTGCCTTGGAGTGAAACTCGCAAACCTTATGTCAGCGGTGGTAGTGCTTCGCCTGAGACAGATCAGCATTGCATCCTTCGGCCTGGCATCTAGGCGAGTTGGAAGAGTAAAGACTCTAGTGGTAGAGTCAGATATGCAAAGTTTAACAGGGGAATTTTCACAAACATGTAGAGCACAGGTTGGTAGGCGAAACAAATTGTGCCGTGAGAATGCTCGTCTGATAATGTAGGCAGCCATCACACACCTGTTTGATTCTAATCTTGCTCTGTAGAACAACAATGATAAATTAATCATAAACATAAAGTAACTACTTTTAGTGCTAAATTTCAAAAAGAATATAGAAATTTCAGTTCATAGACTTTGTTTTTGCTACGTGACACTTTGAACCAGTATTGTGAAAATATGTGTTTTGCAAATTGTGGTGCTTAAGCGTGGAATAGCGGTGCGAAGTGTGGCTTTCGCGGAAGAGCGATTGGTGGAGTTTGTTGTAGGAAGGAGGCGGAGCTTCTATTGTTGTTGACAGTGACGGAAGAATGAGTTGCAAAAGGAATTAGCCGAAATCGATGGTGATGCGGCATGGAGAGGAATATGGGTAGGTGGTTCGGTGATGTGGGTTATAGCGCGGAATTGAGATGAGGTTGGGTTAATAGTGGCGGATGAATAGAAAGTTGAAGGAGGTTGCTAGGCGGAGGTGGGTTGATAATGGTGGGTTGCTTGGTTGAATGATGATGGTGAGATGTAGTTTGGATTTTGTTAACAGGGGAGGAGAAATAGAAGATGAGAGGGAGTTGCAACGTTGGAAAGAGAGAAGAGGTATGAGTTGTTTTTCTGCTATGCTTTTTTTCTTGTCTTTTTTAAACAAAGAGATAAATATGCTTTATATAGAAAAATGAAAAAAGAAAAATTGATTTCAAAGTTAATCACGTCCATTCAAAATAAAATCATTATGCATTAATCCTCAAATTTTGTCAACAACCAATAGAAATCAAGCATAGTGTAATAAACATTATTTTGTGACTAAAAAGCCCTTTTAATGATAAAAATGAAATAAAAAACAGAAAGTATTTAAATTAACTCAATTTAAAATAATTTTTTGAATTTTTTCAGAATAAAAAATAAAGACCCAAAATGATAAAAAAACAGACGAAAATTAATCCGAAAAAATAAAATGAACACATTAAAATAAACTACATGTCATAAAAATTAAATAAACAATATTCAAAAAGTCAAAATCGAAATAAAATAATAATAAAAATATCAGGCTAAACAAACGTTTTACGGTTAAAAATGAGACTTCAAACTGTACCAAAAAAATAAAGCGAGCATACCGTCATAATCTACGCGAAGCGCAGATTCATAAAATGATCGGTAAAAGGTGAAAACTTGAAATATTTTCTCGCTACTTTCCCGCATAGTGTCGAATCGCTTTTAACAGTCTGTCTATAAAACCGAAATATTTTATTATCGACATATAAACAATTTGGAGCAGTGCAAGAAAATAGTAAACAGATAAAAATGAATGAAATGAAATGTCGGGTATTTTACAACTGAAAGACGATGCAAACTTTGATTTAAACTGACTTTTTCTGGTTAACTTAAATACGACTAATGATGCAAAATGTGATGAATGAAGATATTTACTAATGATTGTGACTAAATAATAAAATATGATATGAAAGTGTGACTAAAACATATTAGGGGCGAAATTTAGGGTGCGACAGTTGTGCTTTGATGAATCAGTCTTCGAGAATCCATAATCAACCGTACTTTTGGCTTGGGAGACTCAAAACCTTGATTGAGGCGCGACACCTGATGCTCTTGATTCAGACCTATCTCTGCACATGACACAAAAGAAAACATGAACATACACCTTTGTATGCGATTAGAAATTAGTGATACATAGGCTCAAAATGTTCAAAACACTTAACAATCTTCGCATAGTCAATGCTTGAAAGTGAGAGGTTAAAACCGACTGTATTTCGTGACCTTGACTTATCTTTAAAAATGCAAAAATAAAAATGGGACTTAGGTCAAAAATTGGGGTACAACACAACCATTATAAAATTCCTTGTACCATGTCTTGGAACTATGTTTATCAAGTTGCTTCAAAAACAAGGCAGAAATCTATAACATGTGATCTCTTGTTTCTGATCCCACCAAGTTTCCAAACCTCTTGCCTATAAATAAAAGAGTAATTTGCAACCTAACACATGAAATTACAAGCATGGAAACTCCCTCAAACACAAAATTTCTCATAAACTTCATTTTTGTTCCATTTCTGACCTTATACATCAAAATCACTTTCCACTCGTGCGTTCTTCCTCAAAATCAATCACAAAGCATCCATACATAATCTAGAAGTGATCCAGGGCCCTGTTACACAATTGTAACACCTCCTTCATCATCCTCCATAACCAAAAAGAGAGTTCTGCAACTTGACTTCTCCAGAACATTCCAGGCACTCTCAGCTCAAGCTAAGCATTGCATTAGCTTCCTAGAGGTTCAAGGAAGCTAACTAGATCATTGCAACATCTTGAGGATTTATCAAACTCAAAACACGATCTCCATCTGCAAGGTGAGTTTTATGAACTTCTATCTCTTCATACAAGCATCATCTTACTTTTATTTTCAAAGATAAAATGTAGACATCATAGCCCTGAAACTAACCATGTCTTTAGAATTCATTTATGTTTCCTGAGTAGTGTGAATTTTAAGTTTGAACTTCCTGAAAAAATTAAGTCAGATTTGGTACCAACAGAAATTCGTGCTTATCTTTGATCCATTGTTTAAGTTGTTTACATATTTAGAATCATGGTAAAATTTCTAACAAGTTTGATGTTTACACTTTTGAGAATGGTTGAGAAATAAGTAAGATACAAAATTTGAAAATGTTGAAGAACATACTGGCACAAGGAAGAAGATGAAGTTATCATCAGGACTTGGTGTATTTTAAACTTGTCATAATACTGGATAAAATAGCCACCCCAGTGGCAGGAAGCGCGCGCTAAAGGCATTACTATGGAAGTTCCAGGGTTCGAGCCCCAGCGAGACCTTTTGTTATTTTTCTAACATTTTCCTTGTTTCCTTTTTTCCTGCTTCCTAAACAACACACAACCCATTATTTCTTTTTATTTTGTTTTTTATTTCTGATTTCAAAAACAATTTTGGGCCCTAAATAAAAAATAACTATTTTACTTTCTAACCTCCTAATTTCTCTTCTAACCCCTGACTCCTAAATTTATATTTTATTTTATTTTATTTTATTTTATTTTCTTATTTTATTTCATTATTATTATTTCTAATAAAAAAAACAAAAATATTTTTTTATTAAATACTTAGACTAAAAATTGTAATTTTTTTACTTTTCACTTTAGTTTTATTTTCTTTAATTATAAAAAAATATCAAAAAATGTTTTCTTAATAAATTAATTTTCTTTTCTTAATTAATTTAGACTTAGGTTTTAAATTTCTCTTAATTAAATTAATTCAGACATTAGAAGTATTATTAATTTCTTTTCAATTAGGTCAAAACCTTTTTCATACAAAAAACCATAAAAATAAGTGTCTCTTCTTTTACATTATCTTTATATTCTTGTATATTTTATTTTATCTTATTCTATTTGGTTGTATTAATAATTAGGTTTTAATTGTTTATATCCCCATTTGTAATTTGTACCCCCATCCCCTAAAAAGGTGTAATAACGTAGGACTTTTAATTTCCGCAATTTATCGCTTTACATATTATTTCTAGTAATTAGGATTTGTATGGAAAGACTTAAAACCAAACAATAGACAACCCTAATTCAATACAAAATAAATGAAAACAATAAACTTTGCACACATGCACCTCTAGGGTTAACCCACACTTGTTGCCTTAGATTAAAAAAACAGTCATGTCCCTCGAACGTGGGATACTTTAACAAAGACCCTCGATTACAAGATCGTAGTCCCTCGATAACCCTTCGATGTTGCCTTTGGTAAACGATTCAGACCCTTACGACAAATTTCTAAGGTATCCTACAATGTTTCCTTCTATGATTGTACGACGACCCACACATGTCCCTTCACATCATAATGATAAGGTTTCTTACTAACTAATGGTAAGATAATACTGTCTAAAGGAAGAGGAGAAGAACAAAGACTTTATTTTTGAGTAGGTAGAACCCTCGTAGTTGCTTGCTCACAAAAGTTTCAAAACAAAACATCTTTGAAACACACCAACCCTTTCATGAAATATTTTCAAAAGTCAACACTTTGTATACATTCTTATAGAAACGAGAATCATTACAAAGTTTTCCTAAACGAAGGCAGTTTTCAAAAATACTTTCAAACAAAGACAAACATATTTACAATAGCATTTCAAAGTGAGCTAGAAACTAAGATCCCGTAGATAAATACGGATGAAAAGGTTGCTAACACCTTCCCTTTTCATAATCTACCCCCCGAACTTAAGAAAATTTCTCAAAAGGTCTTTCCTGTTATTTTCACCCTTTCCTTTATTAGATAAAAGAAAAGTCGACGGCGACTCTTGCTATCCGCAATAACTGCGATAAAATGCAAAACACCCAAGTCAGTTCTCCCAGCGTATTACAATATGGAAGTGGGAAGTCATCTTTAGGGCTTTCCCTGTTCAGATCCCTGTAGTCTACGCACATGCGTACTTTTCCGTCTTTCTTCGGTACCAGAATCATATTCGCAACCCATTGAGGGTAGGACATGACAACCAAGAAACATGCGTTGAATTGCTTCATAACCTCATCCTTGATCTTCTCTGACATCTCGGGACGCATACGGCGAACCTTCTGCTTTATTGGAGAACAACCCTCTTTCATCGGCAGACGGTGAACCACAATATCAATATCGAGCCCTAGCATGTCTTTGTACGACCAAGCAAAGATCTCAATATATTCATGAAACATTTGTATTAACCGGTTCTTGACATTATCCTTTAAGTTGGCACCTATCTTAACCTCTTTCCTGTCTATCTGAGTACCCATATTTACAACTTCAATCAGCTCTTCATGCGGTTGTATGGAATTTTCCTCTTGCATTACAGTCTGGCAAGTTCTCCAGGTATTTCACAATCTTCCTCACCTTCGTCCTTAGTTTGGTAAATCAGATTTTAAAAGTCATAAGTGACAATAGCAGAATCGTTATCAACGTGATCCAGAGTGGACGTGGATCTGCAATTTATTATGTGGGTGTGTGTAAGAACACATAGCTATTTGAAAGTGACA